CGAAATTATCAGCATCCGTTAAAAACATTTGGTAGTTATGGATTTTTATTATTCCCGGAAAAAAACTAAAAAATGAAGTTTATTTGTTACCAGTTTTTACTCCGGTGCGCCGCCTGATAAGGCAATCTAGAACCCCGGCGTGAACGTGTTAAACGCACATAATGGTAACCAGCAAGTTCCTTTATTGTGCTGTGATGGCGAAGGATGATATAAAGTCTGAAAATACCTGGCTAAATAAAAAAAATAAATAAAAAATAATAAAAAAATAAATAAATAAACGTATCACGAGATAAATTAAAAATAAAAGCACGAAACAATTTATGGAACAACAAAGAGTTGAAAATTTTTGATGAGAATAGTTTTTGTTTTGAGTTTAGGGTTCATATTAACCCGTTATGGGGTTTTCCATTTATTTTGAGAGGTTGTTACTTACCCGTTACGGATATTTTAATTTAATTTTGTTTAGTTTATGTGTGGTTGTCAAATAAATGTGTTTTATAAAAAAATAACTGTTTCTTCTTTAATGTAGCTTGATTCGTTACAGTTCATTAAATATTTGCCTGCAATACTATTTCATAAGCCAGGCCAGCGAACTTTCTACGCTTTTTGTAAAAATTTATTCTAGTGGTAGCAAAGTTTTTATTGTATTACTTTTTATTAATTTTAATTTATTTTTCACACCATTACACGTAAATGATTTAAAAGCTCATGTGCAACGCCACTTTGTTATAGCTTCTACGTGGGGAGACTTTTAAAATGTAGACATAATTACCAAAAATTCTGAAAGCTTCGGTTTTTAAATGTCCACCACTCTGTAAAATAGTTTACAAAAAGCGCCGTAGCCTGCATTAAGCATGTCGCTGGAAGAAGCTAGATTTCCTAGAACCACTGGAAGAAGCTAGATTTCCTAGAACCACTGGAAGAAGCTACCACGTGAAGAAGCTTTTTTGAAGCTAGATTTCCTAGATTTGGTATGTTAAATCACATAGCTACCATAATGTTGCTAAACTTAAAATGTTTGTAAATCAATGCATTTTATACTTTCATGATGTATGGGATAGGGGCCGCTGCGCGACCCAGGTGCCCAGTGTTTGATAAATAAAGGAAAAGGATGTTAAATCACAAATTTGGCATCACCTTTAATACAAATAGCGATAAAATCGGAATTTTCGAGAGCTATGAAAGTATTAACTAAAACAAAATTTAATGTAGTAATAGATAGTAGGATTAATAGTATCATGTCCCGGTCATTTGAAAGGATGGACACAGTCTGAAAAAATTTAAAATGTGGTTTACGAATGTTTTATCTCAAATTTTATTGCCTTTCATTTCACGTCAATTTTATGAATTTTCTATCGGCCATTTTTCTACGCAGTTATTTAATGTACAATTATTTTTTGTCGATAGTATTTAGTTGAAAGTTTTTGTTCCCTCAATCTTTTTTACTAGTTTTTATTTTGTTCTCGAACATAGAAGCTCTGTTTCATGCATTTGTTATCTCTACTATTTGCTATTTAAAAAAAAAAAAAAAAAAAAAAAAAAAAAAAAAAAAAAAANAAAAAAAAAAAAAACATCTGCAAATGTTTTTTTTTTTTTGGCCCTTCCTGACCAATGCCTACTATAACTGAAAGCCTCCACACGGTTTCTTATGGGTAGTCCGATCGGACCACAATGAAGGTGAACCAATTTACGAAAGATCCCTTTAATAGAATACCTAATAAAAAGAAGAAAGTGGTAGAAAATATATGTTTAAAATTTGTTTAATGTATGACTATGATTGGGTTTTTCGTATTTACTTGTAAATCACTGCAGATTCAATTCTTAAATATATGAGATAAATTTCTCTCAATTACTTATGAGAAAGAATTCGAGTTCATGAGTACAATTGGTTCACTTTTAAATAGTCTGCGCAGCTTACTCATAAGAAACCGTGTGGAGGCTTTCTGATGTAGGAGGGGATAACCTGACCCAGGGTGCACACGGGCGTTTAAAAGTGCATGCGCCGAATGTAATTCAAAATTTTATTAATAGAAATTAAAATTAGCAACTTTTTTCAATTTATTATTGAAAGTTTTTTTTTACTGTGGCCATCCACTGTAAGTGTGTATATATATATATATATACATATATTTATATATACTCCAACTGATACGGAATTTCCATAATTTCTGAAAATAATTTTTCTACTGGTAGCAAAGCTAGCGAATAAAATTTTAATTATTTAAAATTAAAAAAATTTACTAACAGAAAGAATTGTGAGAACGTTAGTTAGATAAAAGGCCACTTTCCTACATACTGTAAAAATTTTATTTGTCTTAAATATTTCTAATGCAGCTAACTACCAAAAGAAAAAAAAATATATAATTCCTTTTCATTTGTAACACAATATGTCCCATTATTAAAAAAGATGAATAAAAAGATATTGCATACTAAACAGACATTGGGCTCATAAATAATTTATTTGATACAGTTTGCTGTATATGCACATCAAATATGAATTGAGTATACAACTATTCAACTTTACACCTTCTAGAGAACTTAACTTCAAACCAATTTACTGCTACAGCGTATTCACTAACAGATGGATCGACGGTGGCAGAGAAAAAGAACTGAAAATAGATTTGGAAAGACGTTTATCTAACAGTCTTTAAAACAAAGATAAATAGATTCACCAACTTCTCTAGTAAGTTTAACTAGTAAGTTTTTTTACTTTATCATTTTATTTATGATTTCAATGATTTTGGCCATCACTATATGCAAGCATTATAAATATATATATTTTTTTATTTCATAAACTTCTTTGAACAACCGACACAATTTTGGGTTTACCACTACTTATGTTCAACTCCGTAGCCTAATATTCTTGAACCCAATTCAGATGACAAGGGATCAACTATTGGGAGAAGTTTGGCCTTCGTGGAGGACTTTTAGATGGAACTAACCAGCATTTGCGTTACCTGGAGAGGGAAACCACGAAAACCTCCCACGATTAGCCTGGCGGCAAGGGGACTCTAGTCCTTGATCCGTTTACGACTGAGAATATTTTGCGTCAGTACTGTGGCTGGTGCAAGACGGGCGTGAAATTCGAATCGACCAGTTATCCCTGGGATTCGAACCCGGTTCACTTCATTGGAAAGCAAACGCTCTACCTCTTGAGCCATCACGGATTAAATATGTGTATATGAACTGATTTCATTTCATTTTATGACAGGCGTTGAAAACAACCTATTCGAATCTGAGTTTACGACTACCAATGTTTAACTCCGTAACCTTGTTATTTTGAACTCAACTCCTGGATTCAAGCATCAGAGAGAAACGCTACGAAAACCTTCCACGGTTAGCTCGAAGACAACGGGATTCTGACCCATGATAATTCTAGCATTAATTTAAACCGTCGTAGCTAAATTTTACAATGCAGCCAAGCAGCACATTAGTAACCGTGACCACAGATTGCATAGTTTGTACATTACGCCAAAAAAATAAACGGTCCACCTTTTGATCTGATGATTGGATCTTCACGTTCTAGTAGGACTTAATCTTACTGGCTCAAAGGGGGTAACCACAAATATGTTAATTAATGAGAGCAAACGATAACTGCGAAATCAGACTTAAAAAACGTACTTTTTTTAATTAAACATATCCTTTTTCCCCCGTTGTATTCGGATTTCTGACCCCCGAACTACAGGCAGTAACCGCAACCTGGACACAAATAAAAATAAAAATCCCTCCCAATTGTTATTCGTAGTGTTTTTAAAAAAAACCTTGTACGAGCATAGAATTTCAATTAACACTTGCCTTTTTTGATAGACTAACGTCTTAAAAATCAGGGTTTAACACTGAAAATCGTTTATTTAATACCGAACTGATGTAAAGAACTTATAAATATCATACCCTTAATGATTGGTCTAGATCAATATCGATAACTGCCCTTTGCCATGTGTTTGATCTACGACTGGAAGCGTAAACAGGAATAATTCCATGATCCGTTTCTTGTTGAATATCGAACGACTTAGCACCATCGCCCGAGAAGAAAAATTCAACAGTGAGACAAGCTATCTTTTCTTTCTCATAAATTGAAAAATAAGGTGTAATCATTCGACCCAAATGAGCGCTGGTCATGTTGGTCTCCAAAATCATCATAGTTCCTGCAGGAAAAACAAATTATCAGTGAATGTTGCGAATACCATAAAAATGTTTTACTGAAAGACATTAAAATTAATGTATATAGAATGTATATAGCACAGTATGTATATAGAATAGCGTGTACATAGAATAGTATGTATATAGAATAGTATGTAGAATAATATGTACAGAATAGTGTGTATATGGAATAGTTTGTATATAGAACAGTAAGCATATAGAATGAATGAGAAAAAGCCACTTTAAGTTTTAACACCATACCCGAAGAATTCCCACACCATTAAGGAGCCTCAAAATTGTCATAGTTCCACTGACTAATTGTCATAGTTCCATTGGAGAAAATTTCCTCTTTTTTTCATAACGAGCTCTTTCATTTTTTATATCATTAAAAAAATTGAGATGTTAAAGAAGAAGCTTAAGTTCAAAGCTATCCTCAAGCAAAGGAGAACAGAAAAAAAGAAGGATATTTATGATTCAGATAGTTTTGTGTGCAATCGGTAAGCCATGAGAAAAAAAGATTTTCTTCGCCTAAAGGTGGAGGCTCGTTAATTGTGTGTGAGGGCAACAGCAATAGTAGACAACTTACTTTTTTACCTCCTCCCCCTATGCCACCTAGAGGCTACTGATTAACAAAAAAAAAATTTAAAAACCCATTTATTGACGTTTGTAGGAAAACCAGATCTTCCAACTTGATTTGGCCAAAACCAGATCTTCCAACTTGATTTGGCCAAAACCAGATCCTCCAACTTGATTTGGCCGAAACCAGTTCTTCCAACAGGATAAAAAATATACTTAAATAAAATTATTATATATAAAAAATCACTTAACCCTTTATTTACCTAATTATTAAAAACGTGTGTAATATTTTTTTGTTCCATTAAATAATGTCTATACCTATGTCCACTAAATGATGTATATGCACTTTGAGAAATATATATGTTTTTTTACATTATTATTTTCTGATTTTTCATAAAATTTTTAGTTTGGCACTCACATTATAAAACTTTGATTAAAGTTAAATACTGAATACTTTGTTTGATAACTAGTTCAAAACGTTAATGAATAAATAAAAAATATGAAATACTTACAATGACAATTTAAACAGTTCAATGATTCCTCCTATGAGGTGACAACGAAATAGAATCTCGTTCTTTTAAAAAAGACACATTAAAATACATAGGAAAAATATTTACAAATAAATAGAAAAATAATAGAGGAGATTTCTATATCTTGATCTGTGGCATAACAATCGCCAAGTCTTGGCAACTTCCGGGCAGCAAACCATGAAAAACCTAAAAAAAAAAAAGTAAAAAAAAAGAAAGAAAAAAAAATATCACAGAAAGGGACCAATTCGAGAGGCATAACTCGCATCCAACCCCAGGCATATATGCTTTTTTAAAAACAAAAATTTGCAAGTTTTAAATCTATTTGGCACCTTGGCGATTGTAGTTGGCGAGACAGATCAAGACATAGAAAGATCCCCAGAGAATAAGTATATATCCTAATAGTAATGTATCCTAATTGGGTTAGAAATTTTAATCCTATGAGAACTAAATTCAATGGTGGTCTAATATAAAGAGTGTATTTAAATTTACGACTACCCTACAGCTATTTGAATCAAATTGTTTCAGAACGAAAAGCATGCATAAACACTAAAGTTAGATAATTTAATTTTACAGAACACATTTTTTAATTTTAAATTTTTTGAGAGCAGCTTTTATTAAAAAATTTATTCGGGAAAATCAAAAATTTTTAATAAAAACTGCTCTTAAAAAATTTAAATTACTTATAGAAACTTTTGGAACATTCGAAAGTTAACATTATAGAAAAAAAAGCTATGTAGAAAGCAGTACTAGTACCTTTTTTCCCTCCTAATTCCGATTCCTTTCTCACCCATTGTGCACTAAGATGTTCTTGATTTGTAACTCCGCATGGACCTAACTCAAAAAAGCAAGTTCTCATCCTGATAATTGCATCTATAAAATGATTAAAACATGGAGTTATATAATTTAAGCTTTTCCTTAAGTTGTCTTATTTATCAAAAATATTTCGTTTATTTTATTTAATTATATCCCAATAAATCAAATATTTAGGTGTTGGATGACATACATTTTGATGGCAACATTTTACAAAAAAAAAAAAGTGTATAATAAAGGGTCGCTTTATTAGATATAAAAAATAGTGCTTGATAAGTTTTAGAACTTATATGAAATTCTCCTCAAAGCTTTATAGGAATAAAAATCTTCGATTAATGGTTTTGAATCAGTAATTTAAGACTACAAATTTGTCAGCATATATATTTTTTAACATTTAATTTTATTACAATTTAAGCTGATGAAAAACCGATTTGGAGGATTCTTATAACGTAAATGGTTTAAAGTCAAAGATGTTTACGAAAAATTTAAGCACAAATAAATTCATTCTATTTAAATACCTTTCAAAAACTACTGACTGCAAAACTGTATTGGTATAATTTTGTCTGAAAAATTAAAAGAGAATCTGAGTTATCAATTTTTTTATATCAGGTGACGGCTTTGTATTTTACATGCATCAAAAAATATTGCCAAATAAAGTCAATATCCACTATCAGATTATTTGTGAAAATTAAATAAAGTGGATTAAAAGTATATTTGGAATTTTTCCTCTCCGTCTCTACCCTTTCGACAGTACAAAAAGTTGACCTGAATATTTAATTCTTCAGTTAGTAGTCAGTAGACGGCAGAATCTTCATAACTTAGTAGCCACTTTTTCCTCAAACCTAATGAGTCGGTGACCGATATCGGTATGTTGTTTTAATTTAACCCTTTCGCGCCGACTGTCACAAATACGTGCCAGCATGAAATTATATCAATCAGGGTAAAAAGATAAAACTAGTATTTAAAGTATTTCTTTAGCAGTTTATTTGTGGGCGGAGTTATAATTGTTTGATTTATTTGATTCACCATTACTTTATTCAAAATAAAACTATTTAGTTATACTTTGAATTAACACTGAATATATATACATACCTCCCAACTCTCCCGAATATTGCGGGAGATTTTATTTTCATATTTAAAGTGGTAGTAAATATATACTATTTTTTCTTTTATAAATTTAATTTTTTAATGATTTTGATCACCACTATTCTTACAAAAATTAAGCTTATATATTAATATGCGTTACTATCATGGTTGTCGAATTATATTTTTTCAAATACAACGCATTTGTTTGCTTAAAATTGAAGTTTTAATTCCATTCTAATACCACTGGGAAAAATGATAATGGAAGGGATTAAAAGCTGGCAGGTCTGTATATATATATGATTAAACTAACAATAATTAAAGTAAAAGCAAAGTAAGTCTGAGAAATTAGCAATGACTACGTTTAAGTTACCGTTTTTTATTTAATTACAACTTGATTCTGATTTTGTACGAATGCTTTTCTGAATCACCCGTCCCAGCCACTTTTCGCAAACTTTTTTTTTTTACGCTTGGATTAAATTATACCTAAAAAAATCATATTAGAAATTATCTACGACTATTAAAATTTAATTCGACATTAAAAATAATATAAATGTGTGACAAAATTTAGTTAAACATACTGAACTTAAAAAATTTAAAAAAATTTGCATTGGCAGAATACATTTAAAGTATATATTGCAACTTTGAAATGTTTGAATTATTAAGGAACTTTCTTTCCAAATGAATCTTTCCACCACAAATTCATGGATTCTGATGGATCATGTCTACTGAAAACTGTTTGTCGCGTCTCTCATGCTAAAAACCGCAAAAAATAAATATTTTTTATTTTTCTTACCGGCCCATTGTGACACCAGAAATATAATTGCAATTCCAACTACTGTCTTCATTTTGCGTGAGTGGAAAATCGAGTGAGTTCAGCCTTAAAATTTAATGTCGTCTAATTGTTTTGATCAATCATTCCGTTACTTAGTATCGAGTCACAAAGATAGGGGTGAGAACCTACACATGTGTTATTTATTTAATCTGATTGTTATATAAGTTAGGTGAGGACATAAGTTAGGTGATAGAAAAATATTAATATTTTTTTAAAAAAAATTAGTAAATTGTATTATTTTCTAATTTGAAAACTTTATTGCATTGAATTAATGCGCTATGGTTCACAAACTATTTTATACTATTTTAATAAATCTAACATAAATTGGTAATTGATAAAATATTATGGAAAAAAGCAAGTAATAGTGCGGAAAAAATTATAATATCATCTTAGTGCGAAAATCGGTTTGGATCTTCATAAATTATAAAAATTATAATTAATATTTAGGTAAGTTATTAATATCTTGTATACTGAAAAACTTTAATGTAACTAAAATGTTTCAACAAAC